TAAACAATTATTTGTGTATAACCTGAAATCATTCCATTTGGAATATGCACCAAGTCATGGAATGATGGAATCATCGTCAAATTTCAATTAAAAATTAAAATAGTTGTTGTGACTAGTATTATATTAGAACTTTCTAGAAATGGATTTAAAACAATTCGCATAGTCTTCACATGGCCATGAGTCCCCCTGGGACCCCGAGTTCATAGCATATTTGCTTTCTAAATTTCAAGTCGGTTCATAAATTTGTTACATGAATCAATCATTTATTTTTAATTTATCGTTCTGTACACTACTATTTTCAGAACTACCATTTTCAAAAGTACTATATTAAATATAAGTAAAATTAAAAAAACTATTAAATTTTAAAACATAATTAATAAGATTTACAAATTTTCTTGGTTTCAATACACACACACTAAAAGTGTCTTCCAAATATGATTAAAAGAATATAATATATTTCTGGGGGTTTTTATTTTGAGAGCATGGTGTTCAACCTCGGTTATAATTCAAAAGGGGCAGTTTGAAAAATTCAAAAAACATTTTTTAAAAAATGCTTTCACACAAAAGAAGCAAAACTATTATTATATTTACTTATATACCGATACATTATTTTCAAAAAGCTAATCTAAACACTTTTCATAATTGGTGTTTATACAAATATTTAATGGAGAAAACTGCAATAGAGTCCCGTTGAAAAAATATAATGACTAAAAAATTCTAATAACAATATAATAGTTGAAATAACAAGTTTTAGTATAAAAAGGAACAATTACTCAGTTGTTATGGGGATTTTTTAGATAATTATTTTTGTCTCATAGCAATTTTCCCTATTTGATAATGCAATGACACTCTGGTCAAAAAAAAGATAATGCAATGACAAGAAACTACGCTACTAAAGCAATTTTGTGGGTAATATTTAAAACATTGATTTATTCGTTTAATTAAGTGTGGTTTCCTTTTTACTTTAAAAACACTAAACGCGTTGCCTCTATCAATGTTCATCATTTGTTTGAAGCTCAAAAGTAGAGCCAAAAACAAAAAAAGAGCCAGACATACAAAAAGAAGAAGCTCAAAGGTATAAAAGTTTGAGAGCGACTGAGCGTATGGGAAGGTATTAAGTTTTGTCATGCTGTTTCTTAATTTATTTCAGTTTTAAATGCTTGCCTAGCTTATTTTTCTATCACTATCTACCTGAAAATAGGTTTAAAAAAAAGTAAACATTGAAACCCAAAAAAGACAGAGAGAGAGAGAGAGAGGGGGAGGGAGTTCTATCCCAAATGACATTGTAAAAAACGTACTGATCAAGCCTTCAAATAAAATAAATTATAAAAAGAAAGAAAATTTAAATTAATAAATTATAAAAATTTATGAATTATTTTTTTTTTAAAAATCCAATATGTCAAGTCAACGTTTGAATGTAAGAGAGAGAGAGCACAAATTCACAACACATATGCTCATAGCTCATTCGCAGCAAGCGAAGCCGCGTGAGCCGCTCCCAGACAGGTGGCCCCAGCACAGGCAATCTCACCAACCTGCCGTGTCCCCCTCACACTCCCTCGATGGCAATATTTTTTATTTAACCAGTATCAGCATTATATATAAAAATTTAACTGTTTTTAATTTTGTAGAAGAATTATTATAAAACATAAAATAAATTTAATCTCCAATTAACTCAACAAAGTAATTGATTAATATATGGTTATTAATTAGTGTGGGACATGTATGTGTCTGGGGGCGGGGTGATTAGGAGTTTGATTTCTAATATAGATCACGATTACCTGTATAAACTGCTGGCCAAACACTTCCTTGTATCTTTAGTTTTATCATGAAATGTCTTATTATCTCTTATTATTTGAAAGGAATTTATTCTGTCCTCTTCAACCACTGTGTATGTTCATAACTTTTTATATCATCAGTGCGCCATCCATATGCATGTATCATAACTTGTGCATTTCCATAACCGCTTTCACAGATACACTTTTTGTGTGTGCGCTCTTATATTTTGACTCGGTGCAATTCAGTCTCTATATGGATTCGGTTGTAACTCAGTCTTGAAATTTGATTCGCTGTAACTCGATCCCTATAGTTTTAACCATTTTATAATTTAGGTCTTCCTTTTATTAGATATATAATTTTATTTTTTAAAACACAAGGATTAAATTATAAAATAGAGAAAATTATAGAGACTGAGTTGTAGTGAGTCAAACTTTAGGAACTCAGTTACAATCGAGTACAAACTATAAGGACTAAGTTGCACCGAGTCAAAGTATAGAAATTGAATTACAAATGAGTGAAAACTATAGGGACCAAAAGATTAATTTTCCCTTTTTTTTTTTGCTAATATTTCACAATGAAAAACCGACATGCATGCATAGTCATAAATCACAACATATCCAATCCCCCGATTTTTTTTCTGGTTGTTATTTGAATTCAATGTATTATAATCAAAATGTTGCTAAATAATGACACCGATGGTAATTAAAAAAAATTCCCTTTCCTCGCATTTTATCCTTTTATATATCTCTTGCTATTTCCGGTCCTAATTATAAAATCTCGTTTATAAATTATAAAGGAGATCTTATAACTAGGACCAGATGTAGTATTATTCTGTACCAACTGCCAAGGCATTCAAAGTATAAATCCAAACAACTAAATCCTACATTAATTCCTCACATGCATGTTGATATCACTTCCCTATAGCCCCTTTAATATCAGTAATTGACTTTACAGAAATATGTGATTTTTTATCGAATATTTTACTTTATAAAAATTAACTTACTTCTTTAGCCTAATTTAACTTTTTATTCTCTAAAATACTACTCTTCCGGTCCTTAATATATGACCCAATTCTTGAGTTGGTTTTGGTCCTAAATATAAGACCCATTTCTCATATTTGTCAATTTTCTCTAAATTACCCGTATAAATACTCCCTCAACCATAATCAAGTAGAAGAAGGAGATGGGGTATTAAGAAAGATTATGATGTTTTAGGGAAAATGTGTTACTTTTCTTATAATTAACGAATTTACCTAATTTTCTTAATGTAATCAAATTAGTTAAATGGGCCTTACATTAAGGACCGGAGGAGTACTATTTAATTTGTCAAAACATCAAGTGCTTATAGTTTAAAATTCTCTTTATTTGATCCCTGCGCTTGAATTGTTACTAACCTTTTTTGACAAATTTAATTGACGTGGTCATACTTAGATATACGAAATACACAAATTAAATAATCTAGATGTAACTGATGGCTAGAAGTTGCCAATTAATACATGTTGTATTGTATCACATGTCGTATATTGTTTTGGCCGTATATTGCATGCGGCGCGTATGTGCTATTTTTGCCAATTATCTATGTAAATCGCTTGTGTTTATACAATTAAAATATATAACACACGAGAGTGACATGGTTAAAAAAGTTTTGAATAAATTATTCTCAACAAGCTTAATATATATCACAAGATAGATACAAAATAAATAAAAATTAAAATCATAATAATAAATTAAATAATAAGATTAGATTAAAATACACAGGGATTGAGAAAATAGATAATTACTAAGCCAATGTAAATCAAGATTAGATCAAAACATAACCACAAGGATATAATGACGTGGATATATATCCTATGATTTCGAACATTTTTTATTGGATAGCTTGTTATGGCTAAAAAAAAAAAGAGTAGATTGACAAAAATTATTAATCTTGGGATGTTGATTTCAGGTTATAGAGATAAACATGTGGGAAAAAAAACATAACACAAAAATGTGTTTTTTTGGTGGAGTTCCGGATACGGATCGCGGGTACTATAGAAGGTTTTCAAGCTCATCCAACGCCTAAACAGCTTCTAGAAATTTAATTTTTTTTTTTATTTAAAAAAAAGCTTCTAAATGGAGTGAGATACAGTGAATAATGTGAATTGAGGAATGAATGAAATGGTTAGTTTCCTCGAGAGGAAGTGGTTAGGGATAACACCTGAATGTAGAGTCAGAGACACGCTGAGAGAAAGAGGAGACTACGCGTGAAGTATAAAAGCAACATTCGTCGTTGTATCTTCTCCTTCTAACGCGGCATAGCCTCTCTACTTTCCTTTGCGTTAACCCCACTCGCTTTCTTTCTTCTCCTCTTCCATTTTCCGATATTCGTCTCTCATCTCATCCTCTCCTCCCCCTCTTATACCTAATCACACCGCAGCCTCCTCTCTCCATCACCATCACTATCGAGATCGTGATCTCGATTTCCCTTTAGACCTCCAAATCTTATACGATTTGATCCCTAACGTATATACGCGATGCTTCGTTTGTGCTACAGGCCGCTGGAGCGTTGTTTTGGATGGCGAGGATGCGGTGGCGGCGGCACCGGTGGCGATGGCCTGTTGTGGCACTCTGACTTGAAGCCTCATGCCTCTGGCCACTACTCCATCGCCGTCGCTCAGGCCAATTACAGTCTCGAAGATCAGAGCCAAGTCTTCACGTCTCCCTCCGCCACCTACATCGGCGTCTATGATGGTCACGGTGGACCCGAAGCTTCCAGATTCGTCAACAAACGCCTCTTCCCTCATCTACAGAGTAATTCTCTTTTCCTGTTTATAATTCTCAAGATTGAAATCGGTGTTTTTGGTTGTTCCTATTTTTGGCTCTGAATTGGTAGCTTCTCAAGGCTCACCGCACTCTCTGTGTCTTCGCGGTCGTGAACCTTGTTTTAAGGTTCTGTTTCATGGATCACTTATTGAAGAAAAATAGACTTGGTTGGGATGATGAATTTTATGATAACAAGGGTTTTAGGATCCATGAGAAATTTAACCCTGTAGAGGTACTCTGTGGGCTGCATTTCAGTTACTCCTCCTGATTTCATATGGCTACTAACTCACCTTCTCTTGTTTTTGTTAATTTGATTGCAGAGTTTGCTTCTGAACAAGGTGGATTGTCCGTGGATGTGATAAAAAAGGCGTTTAAGGCCACTGAGGACGAATTTTTGCATTTGGTGAAGCGAACATTGCCTATGAGTCCCCAAATTGCTTCAGTAGGATCATGCTGTCTTCTTGGTGCAATTTCTGATAATATGCTGTATGTTGCAAACCTTGGAGACTCTAGAGCTGTTCTTGGCCGGCGAGATTCAGAGAGCAAAAAATGCTCAGTGGTGGCAGAGCGGTTATCAACAGACCATAATGTGGCCTTCGAGGAGGTGAGGAGGGAGGTGGAGGCCCTCCATCCTGACGATTCACACGTTGTGGTTTATAGCCGTGGAGTTTGGAGGATTAAAGGCATTATCCAGGTATTGGTGGATAATTTCTATACGAACTTTTGAATAATTGTAGGCTCTGATCTGAACACAGCCCGAACAGTTTTAGTATGGATGGACTAGAGAGAGACTGATTTTCTTAAATTATCTGTTCATATTTAAGATATAGTCCAGGATTGCTGTGGACAAAGTTTGTCTGCTTTTAGAAATAGTCTTCAATGAAATCTCACCGTTTATTAGTATATACAATAATACAGTCTTACTGCGACTTGTATTTATTTTTCCTTTGTATTCCCTCCTCATTTACTTGCTTGTTCAAATTCTTAGGGCCTTAAAATTGCATTCCATGGCAAGGGTTGCTTGTAAATGTTGGTAGGCTAAACTTTTCAATTTTCCCCATATTTTGAAATAGAAGGTGATATCTGTCACTTGCATCTCTGTGTTAATGCTCTTAATTACAACGCTTGAGCCAAGCTAGCACATATATTTAATATTTCTTACTTCCTGTCTTGGCTTTTAAACCTATTTCTATGCTTATGAAGTTATTGTGTATTTGGTGTGGTTCTAGCTTTCTACTATAATGTGCTGTAGAAGTTGGCTATCCTGTAATTAAGATTCAGAACGTACTGGTAGACCTCAAGTCAAGATCACCTGCATTTACTTCCCTTCCATCCATGTTTGTCTCCTATGTAAGAGGAGGGCCGTGGTTGCTCCTCGATCATTTGGTTGTTGACTTAGATATCAATGTGAAACTGAATATTTCCTTGCATGTATTCAGGACTTCTTAAGGACTAAGCTGATTATGGAAGCTGATTTTTGGTTGTGCAGGTGTCAAGATCCATTGGTGATGTGTATCTCAAGAGACCTGACTTTTACAGAGACCCGGTTTTTCAGCAGTTTGGAAACCCAGTTCCTTTGAAGCGTCCAGTAATGACAGCTGAACCATCAATCCTTATTAGGGAGCTTGAGTCGGAAGATTTATTCTTGATATTTGCATCAGATGGCCTTTGGGAACAATTAAGTGATCAAGCAGCAGTTGAGATTGTTTTTAAGCATCCAAGAGCCGTGAGTACCTACTCTTACTTATAAGATGCATATAACCATGGACTTCATGGATTCTTATATAGATTTTAATTAGACATATGTTGTCCCCGTACTTGTAGGGAATCGCCAAGAGATTGGTAAGAGCTGCTCTGCAAGAAGCTGCAAAGAAGAGAGAGATGAGATATGATGATATAAAGAAAATTGACAAGGGAATAAGAAGACATTTCCATGACGATATCACTGTTATCGTTATATATCTTGATCACCACAATGGTTCCCCTTATGATAGATCTAAACCAAATACTGTTGGCTGCACTAGTGCCCCTGTGGATATTTTCTCCCTCAATGCAGATGAGTCAGAACAGAGCATGCTCCGTTCGGTTGCTTAAGGAGCAAAGTTCAATATAAATTAAAATACGAAGATGGATATTGTTGGTGGATGGGATTCATGAAAAGAAGGGTTCAAGTTAAGTTACTGCATAGATAGTAACTGAAGGTTTTCTACAGATTTTGCTATTGCAGATAGCACATGTATAGTTTCGAAGCCCCTTTTCTGATTACAGATATCTCAGTTTTGTTCTTTCTGAAAAAAGAGAATAAAGTCTGTATTGATTAGTCAGTCATGATATCAATCTCGTTCCGGAAGATATTTTTGGGGTAACGTATGGTGCATGTACATATAATGATTGAGATTTTATTTACACGTCAAGTTGGCAGAATTAGACTATATATCACTGTATGTGCATACACCATACAGCACCCGAGAATTTTCCCCAAGTCCAGTGTTTAGTCATGAAGGCCAATGGTGTGATGAGCTTTGATGGTGTCTGAATTTTCCCGCGGAGCACTAAAGCCGCAGGAATTATGGCCATAATCTTGATTTGCCCCATTTCTCCACATTGTAGAAGTTCTGACCGGTCAAATTTGTGACCTTAATTTACGGGATATTGATTTCTTTTATTTTTTTTAATTTATATTGTTGAATAATCAGGACATGAGTGGAAAGATTTCATCCCATTAATTGGTGGGATTTTTGTTTATTAGATTTTGATTAGATTTAACACCGAAATGGGAGGAGGATAATGGCTGAAAAACAAAAATGATTACGTGGGCATCTGAGTTTTCGATCCTTGAATGACTGGCCACTAATTAATGGAACACTCATGAAGCTGTTGAAGAAGTTCTATTAAGTTGTGCCTGTCATGTTTGGCTTGACTGATGAGTTCACACATCATTCAATTGTGTCGGCAAAAGCACTCGTGACCAAATGCTCATGAATAAAAGTCTAACCACGTATGATCAGTGAAGTAACAGTAATTTTTATTTGATTTTAATCATTTACATCGTTTCAAAAGTGAATATACATGTCGTAGCTAAGCTCATTTATTTGCTTACTGACACCTGACGGATCCCGAATTTCATATCATTAGACCTGGTAGAGTTTGCGTTGGCCAAAAAAAAAAAAAGTTGTTAAGAGTTTAGAATAATTGACTTTTCTAAAAGAACAGACATTTAACTAGTTTACATATTTCGTACAATTCTTAATAAAAGAAAAGTATTTATGAATTACTTGCAAATTCAAAAGAAGAAGACGTAAAAATGAAGGGAAAATCCATGTATCCCTGTGACTAAACGAACTTTATTATTGGCAAATAGGATATCTGAGATACTCCCTCCGTTTTTTATTATAAGAGATATTTGATGCTTATGATATATTCTTATATATAAGAGACACTTAAAAGTTGTCTCTATTTTTTTGTGTTGATTTCCTATTTTACCCATATTTATTGTCTCCAACTCACACTCTCTCTCCTTCCCACTTCTCTTTCTTTGAATAATTTACCATTGTTTTCTCTCATGCTCTCTCTCCTTATTAATGAGGGTCTTTTTGGAAAAATAATTATATCTTTTACACATTGATTGTTTTTAACTAATTTTATCTGTTTTTTTTATCAACGTAATTCGGTTATTCGTCTCTTATAATAAGGAACAGAGGGAGTATGATATATGAGCATATTAAAGAAAAAAGAGCAATTTGCAATTCATTTAAGGAAAAATTAGGATAAACCCCTCATTAAAAATTTAATTAGCAAATAGAATCTAAAGACTTTGTGCAACTTATCTTCCATTGTGTGCAATCTATTTTCAGTTATGTGTAATAATCTTCCTTTATGGGATATGTAACTCAATTTCTTTTTGTACAAATAAAATTTTTTTATGTGCAAATCATCTTCTTTACATGGAAACTAATTCTTTTTATTTAAATAATGTTTTTTACAAACTATCTTCTTTTCGTGTAACTAATATTTTCTTGTGTAATCAATCACCCCATATCCTATTTTACCAATTAAATTTTCAATGAGAAATTTATTCCAATTTTCCCTTCATTTAATGATGGGTTTGGACTCTGGTCAAAAAAAAAGATGGGTTTGGAATTCCAAGAACCCATGAATTCTGTTTCGTTTGTTGGTAACTGTTGACCCTGAGCCAAGTCAAAATCCCAACTCTTTCTCATTGGGCACTGCCATCCCAATAAATATTTTAGCTTTGTTTCCATAGAGTTTTTATGCGTGTGCGGGTAATATATACATGCGCGCGCGCGCATATTGATGTTAATCGTATAAATATCTTAACCCATCCAACCAACATCAATTTTCTAAAAGTCAAAACCAAAGACGCACTACTGCATGCGTCTCATAGAAGCGAGCAAGTAGGGATTAATCGATCCCAAAATGTCATGAAAGCTAACTTGATCTTTCCCCAGACATCCCAAAGACGACATTAATTTTCTAGATCCTGTATCAGATTTACAGCATCCAGTTTAGGTTTCTTCAGTAAGCCGGAAAACGATCACGATACCGATACCACGCAAAAAATAGAAGCAATTAAATGATATATTCAGACATGAAATCTAAGCATTTGATGGCATAGACATTAGGCAATCAAAATAAAATATAAAACATGTACACTGTGTTGAATTCTTCTATATATATATATTGAGTTAAATTAGTTGCATCTCACTTACTCAATGGAAGGCTCTCGTCTGTATATAGGATCATTCACTTTAGATCACGATTGAAATCACTTATAAACACATTTTATATAAGTTAAGACAAATTTTTTTTTTTACTTATTTCGTATTCTGTAAATTAAAAATTACTTATAAACTATTCTAAACGGACTTTTTATGTATATAGGTGTGATGGGATGTGGATGTAAAGTTCCCACCATTGTAGCGAGAGAGAATAATTTAGGTCTCCCTCCTCAAGGTTTCCATAAATTACAGGTTTTATTCCTCACCCTCAAATCGTTTATATTGCTCTGTCAAATGAAACTAGGACATTGCCACCGTTTTAACCTATTGGTACAAGCATAATAGCAAATCCTGCGTGCCACTACTATTTGGTAATCATAACACACACATATATATACTCCACTTGGAAGTGGAAGTAAAGAATTAAAAAGAAGAAGAAGAAGAAGAAGAAACGTGGTATTGAATACAAAAGGTAATAAAAGAGAAATATGAAAAGACACACAATCTTAATGTCATAGTTCAACGAGGTGGTAATATAGTGTCGACAAAGGTCAATTGAAGGAGAAATCACTTCTTGTTTTTTGACATTTGTGGTGAGAATCAGATTAATTCCATATTGTCGGCAGCTAATATAAGCAAACCAATGGCCACATAAAAAGTAATTACTCCTCCGGTCCTAAATATAAGACCTTTATACACACTTGTATAAAGGTCTTATATTTAGGACCGGAAAAGTAAAAAGAATGACCAGAGATGGACCCCTTGATATATAATTTATGTCCACTGCATTAGCAAGCATATTAAGACACGTGGATAGATTACAGGTCTTAATGACTAGGTTGATGAGGATTCTATAACCTCTTGGCATCTTCGGCTGAGGTTTACAGCAAACTCAGCTAGGAGCCGGTCTCTTCTTAAGGACGTCTTCCATATGTTTTAGGACCTATTCCCAGCCACGTGGAGCTTACTTGAAAGTCACAGCAGCAATTTTTATGTTGAGTTAGCAATCTCATTTGACACGTAGAATGATGATGACGTTTGATTTTATTAAATGAGAAAGATTAGAGGGTGAGTCCAAAAAAAAAAGAAAGAAAGATTAGAGGGAATAAATTTTAAACGAGTTAAAAATTAAGGAATAAAATCATACCTAATTGAATTATGATTGAGTGACTCAGTCATTAACCAAGTTAAAAGTTGAAGCATCAAAAAATTAATTTTCCCAAACCAAGTAAAATATGACTCACACTAACCTTTGCCTTTTGCTACTCAAAAAATATTTTAAAAAAAATTAGTTTATTATATATATGTTTTTTTCATGTTTTCAATTTTTTTAAAAAAAGGTATATATACTTATAGATAATTTATCACCTAACAGTTTAAAATATATATAAATATTTTTTAAAAATAATATGATAATAAATATTAAGATTTTAACTTTATATTCGTTTTCAAAGAATTGGCCCCCCAACTGACTATTCAGGCTCGTTCTGCCCCAAAATGCCACAAAGTATACTAAAGTCAAAAAGAGATATCAAGAAAAGCAATAATATTATTTATTCAATCGATGGCCGTTTGCCCAAGAAAGAATGGGCCGACCTCAACTCTTAATTCAATATTTACAACAAGGCCATATGAGGCATGTGGTTCGGTTTTTTGGGCTAATATGTTGTCCAGGCCCAAACCCATTTACTTTTCTAAAAATGCATAATTCAACCACTTAGGGCTATTCATAGGACGGATCAGGACCGGGACAGACCCGTCCCGATTCTACCCTGATAAACAGTAACGGGATAGATTTTCTATCTCGTGTCCCGTCCTGTCCCGGTGTTGTCCCAATCTCGATCAGGATGGGACGGAACTAGGATGGGGCCAAGACGTCCCGATATTTTTTTTTAAATTTTTTTAATAAAACTTGATTTTCTTTTTCTAATTGTAGTTTTTTGGGTTTAGGCCTTGTAAAAATATCTTTTTGTTTTCTTTTTTATTTCTTTGGACAAAACAAAAGTCCCTTTAAACAAAAGTCCAAAATATTATATATAATAATTATTAAAACTCTAAATAAAAGCTTTTAACACAATAAAAACTTATTAGAAATTCTAATCATCAATAGTCTCAAATCATCAACAAATATGAAAGCTCTAAATAAATATATTCATAATTCCATATAGTAGTCTCAAATCTTAAAAAAATATGAAAAAAAATGATATTATATAAATAGGATAAAAAATTTAAAAAAATTAAAAAGGACTGGGACGAGACAGTCCCGTCGCGTGTCCCGTCCCGTCCTGATCCCTTTTTTTGTCCCGATTTGTTCCATTCTGAAAAATTTCAAGATGGATCGGCCTTGAACACCCCTACAACCACTTATATTTTATTAACCGAGAATTTTAATTGAAATATGACAAATTGTACGATTTTTAATAGTAATGATATGGAAGGGAGTTTTGTTTTACGTATTATTTGATTTAAAAATAAATAATAACATCTTTTGAAAAGAAAAGGCTAAGTTCATTTCTTTTTTTATCCGACATGAACAATAAATAAGACCATAAAAATCATAGAAGAATGAAGACTATGTACATGTTTATGTACATGCAGAGAGAGGGGGTCGTTAAGAAGTAACAATCGTGCACATTGCATATACATTGACTTCAAAACAAACATCTAATCCTACTCTTACGCTTCTTTTATTACTTTCTGTCTTAAAAATGTGACTCTCTCCTCTATATTCTGTATATACCTGTTTTCCCATATATGTATAGAAAAAGTGACTTATAATGATTCCCTTATTATATTCTTGGTGGAATTATATATGTAACTACATTGATAGAATAATAACTTAATTAATATCCTATTTACAGGACAAAGAAAAAATATATTTTTTTGTCTTATTTACAAGACACTAAGAGAAATTTTTTGTATGAATGTATAATTTTACTCTTCATTTATTATTGTATTGATGTTGTTTACATAAGGTATAATGCATATTAAATAGGGATAAAAT